ATCGGTGACTTTCACGCCCGTCCTACTTAACACATGATTCTGTTATTCTCAGGGTTAGTCTGCGTCCAGAATGCGGCGCCAATTTCGAGTACGCCCCTGGTGACAGCATCTCCCTCATCTGCTCAAATGCGGATAGTGATGTCTCCTGGCTCCTTGACCGCACAGACCTGGAGGGGCATTCACCGGATCAGCCTTTACTGATTGAGAGGGAACGACCAGACAAGTCTTCCTCAGGGTTACCTCTTAATGTGTGCCTCTCACCAAGACTCCTTATTAAGCACTGTCTAGAGCTGCATTCGCCAGCTTCTAGGCGCACCCTTAATCTTCTCGCAAACCATTTCACAAATGACACCTGTTCGATTTCACGCCTGCAAAGGACCCTTATTCACCAGTTGGTTGGCCGCGAGGGTGCTCCTTTGTATAACCGGTAAGTCCACACCGGTATATATGTATCGCTTGAGCACAACGCACACCTCTAGATGAGACAGTTTTAGGCGTATATCATAAAAAGCCACATAAGCCGAACCGACCAGTTTCTCAGGTATTCGATAAAGTAGCGTCCTATGCGACACTAACGGTACTCTGCCATGGCGGTCCTTGCTATTCCAAACTAAAACCAACTATAGGGAGACGGCTGAACTTTATTGCAGTTGCTACTCGCTGGGCGTCAAATCTTGTAATCTAAGCTGCCAATGTAGACCCTGCAAGGGGGCCTATCTAGGTCTTCGGCAAGCGGGTAAGATGGGAGACCTTGATGGACTCCGAGGAGTTCATACGCTTCACATATTAAAATACAGTCAAGGTTAAGCGCGGGTTTTGTCACTTCCCGTTTGTAAATCGGGAGCTGACAACCACACGAGCCGGTCTCCCATGTTACGGGCAGCGCCGGAGCAGTAATTTTTGTACGTTTTTTAGTAGATATTTTTGTCTTTCTTTGATTGTCGTCATGAATAATTCATTTTCTAGTCAAAATATAGATAATTGCGTCTGCAACATGACGGAATTTTTTTCATCCCAATGTGTTTTTCCACTTTAAGGCCAAACATCAGCAGTGTCAAGGATGTGGTTTTCGAAGTCCTCGTTTGTATGGATGCCAACTTCTTACACTAGATTAATTATGAAATCCCTCAAACGTCCTCAAAACTGTTTTGATTTGCAAAGAGCATGTTGATATCATCCTCTCAAGACATCTTCAATTAAGATATTACCACCAAGGAGCTTTTTCAGCCGGATTACGCGCCACCGAAGCGG